GGTGTACCCCAACGGACAAGAAGCTTGGGACGGTCATGCCCCAACCGAAGAACCTCTGAGCAGTCTCTGAGGAGCTTCTGAAGAGCCTCTGCAGAGCATCTGAAGAGCCTCTGATGAGCCTCCGAAGAGACTCTGAGGAGCCCTTGAAAAGCAACTGATGAGCCTCCTAAGAGCATACGAGGAGCCTCGGAATCCTGAGGAACGCTCAAGGAATATGAAACATCGCCAAGAAATCAAACAAGAATCCCGTAGAGACCTCGAGGGAATGTGGGATACGAAGGAAGCCCGAGGACCCTTCAGGGAATCCGAAGGATCGTCGAACATCATCTGGAAATGCGAGAAATACTCTGGAAATTTGAAGCATCCTGATCAAAGGAAGCTGGTCTATCTGGGCGATTCCTGAAATCATCTGGGGGATTCCGAAAACGCATGAGGAATCCTCACGGAGACGGGCCAATTTTTTGGGAATACGAGGAGAGCCACGGGACCCAGAAAGAACTCGCGGGATCCTGAAAAATCAAAATTAATCATCGGGAATCCTAGAACATTAAAATTCCGCGGGATCAAAACGGAATCGGCGGAATCCAGAAAAAATCTGAGGAATATTATGGATCCTGAGGGGATCTAGGAATTTCTATAAAAAGGCTGGTGAAGAATCCTGAGGCATCCTGATAAGAATCCGCTGGATCCTGAAAAATCCGTGCGGATTCCTGAGGGAGTCCTGCGGATACCAGGAGGAAGCCTTGTGGAAGCCTGGAGGATTCCCGAGGGACCCCGCGGTTCCACAATCACTTGCGTGCGGGGGCTTGAACTGTCGTTGCATTCGGGTCGTATCATGGACTATCGCAATTAAATTCAGAACAAGAACAAGGTCGTTCTAAACGTCACGGATTGCGTATTGGTACTGTTTTGGTATTGTGTGTGTCGTAGTGTTAGTGTGTTTGTATCACATGTGCATTGAATGTTGATCCCATGCGTAGTGCATGTGGGTTATATGTGTGTTGCTCTTGTGTTTTCGTATTTGCCGAACCCGAATCCAAAAACTTGCCTCTTTATCATATACACAAGTCGCGTGGAACCCTGGCACTACTGGTATAAATAGCCGTAGTAGAGGTAGTAGCGGTCGTAGTATTGTAGTATGGCCGCAGTAGTACTCTGGATATCGGTAAATCGAACAGCCTGCGAGCGCCACTGCACGCTTGCAAATATCAGAACATGCCTGTCAACACCGCCACATGTATGTGAATTCCCCCCATACCTATGGGGACAAACTTTCTCCCCGCGTACGCTCGTTACCGTTACGGTGGGGGGAGGGGGGCAGCCCCCCATAACGGACCTTACGAGTTCACCGACTGAACAGAAAATGGCATAGCCACACTATTACCCAAGATATCCCGACCATTCCCCCGAGAAGCCCTAATATTCCCCCCCGAGAGGGCCCAATATTACCCAAGACGTCTCCTAACGTGCCCCACAGTAGCCACAAGATGGTTCAGCCTGGGTCGCAAACAGCAGAGGGCGCAACCCTTCAGATAACATCAGGTATAAAGGCTCTCGTCAATACCAGATTTACCAATACCATCAGTGCGGGTAATGTCCACAGAGAGGGCCGCGCCGCATGCACCAGTGACAAAGAGAAGCAACCTGCTCAAAACTGGTACGGAGGGGTGATGATCATGCGCATGGGGAGGACTCCCTCTCCCCCAAACAACATGCTTGCAGCTTGGGGCTCTTACCTGTGCTGCTCCAACCATTGGATGGTCCTTTCGGATCCCCTCCACGCTGGCGCCCGTGCCCGCTCGTGGGCGCCCACGTGCTCTGCAGACGCCTCCCCGCCAATCTCGCCCCGTCGGTGCCCGTGCCCGCTCGTAGGCCTCCTGTGGGCACCCCTCGTGCGCCGGGCGGACTTCCAGAGCGTTGGCGCCGCGCTGTGCCCGCTCGTGGGCGCCTCGTGGGCGCCCCGTGCGCTGGGCGGGTCTTCCCGAGGCTTCGCCGCGCATGGCGGCCCTGCCCGCTCGTGGGCGCAGGCGCCCCGTGCGCTCGCACCGCACAGCTTCCAGCCCGTACCTCACACCACGCAGAGCTCACGCAGCATGGCTCACACCACATGCCCCTCCTCACGGGTATTGCGTGGCTCGCCTTTCGCCACTCAGCTCACACCACATAATATCCACGATACCACGCTACGTGGCATGCGCCACACACCTTACACCACATAACTTGCACATCCGTCGCAGGACCCCATAAGGTCTGTGTTCGCTGTTGGCGGCGCGTGTGAGGGACTCTCGGTAACGCCATTCTGGACGGCAGCTGCATGATGATTGCGAGGGTGAGTCGGATGAGGAGAGGCATGCTGCTGATGGGGAGGGCCAGGCGACTAATCAAGAGTAGGCGGAGAAATATGATCATGAACATGTCTCTCCAAAGGCGAAAATCGGCGGCGAGCCTGGGGGGACAGAGACGGGGCGGGCCTTCTCAGAAGGCTCGGAAATTCGCTGGCCCTCTGAGAAACTCTCTGAGCCCTCCCAGGGCACAGGACACTTCTCAGAAGGCGCGAGAGCTTCTGAGAAGCCCAGCCGCCTTCTGAGAAGGCCTTCTCCTTCTCAGTTCCCCCCCTGGCCCGCCGAGGAAAACGAGGAGGAAGTGTGAGGGGGGGGAGGGAGGCGGGGGAAGGTAGAGAGAACGAGGGGGGTGGAGTGCAGGTGGATCAGGGGTGCGGAACGAAGAAAAGAGGGTGAAGGGGGATCTTGGAGCAGGGCTGCGGCGAGGGGAAGGAAGCAGGAGATGCAGAGGGGGAAAAGGGACGGGGAAGGAAGGAACGGGATGGGAGGGACAGGGAGGGTGAGGCGTACACGTTGGTCGGAAGAAGTAGGTAGAAGCATCAAGTATATTGGGCTCAGACCCTCCCATATGGTAACACCATACAGCAGCAGCATATCGATTCCTGAAGTAGGAAGGCGCTTGAAGCAAGACTTGGGAATCCAGAAATATCTACGTTCATCGGCCGACGGATAAGCGGAGGGAGGATGATGTGGAGGCGAATAGGAAAACAGATGATGATGAGGACGAGGAGGAGTGAGGATATGTGGAGGGAAGATGAGGGCACTGTTTTCTGTGCTATGCAACTCCTGGACTTTGCTGGCTGGGCAAAAAAAGCTTCCCGGAGGTCCTGAACGTCCCAGGAGGCCTTCAGGAGGGGATGGGACGATGCAGAAAGAAGCCAAGGTGCCCTCGCACCCCGTTGCATTACTTATGTCTGGTGGCAACCCTAACCTCACTTGGAATTTCTCGAACTGCTTCCCTGCAGTATTTCTTCGTCCCAAGACCACTCGTGATAGTCCTTGGCCCCCCCGAACAGCAATCTCAGGACGCTGACGCCAAAAACCATCGTTGAACACATCATCCCGCCCGAGATCTGAGGATGACCTGCGCCGGCTGATGCAGCCTCTGGTTCTGACTGGAGTAATTGGGACGCCAGAAAACATATCATGCAAAACGCTGGCAAAAGGCGCTCGGTGCCGTGCGACCCATACGCGCGGAAACACAACCTCTGTAATCGCGCCGCCAGCACTCCGCCGTCTACGTCCGCCAAAGACGACGGGGCGTGCGGGACGTTGCGCTTCCTCTCCTCCCCGCACATCCGGCGGCTCCAGCAAACATCTGCACAACAAATATTTCTCGACTGTGGGCTTTCGGAATTCAATCATCGGCCGAGTGGGCCACACAACGGCGACTCGGGATCGGAAGCTGGCCCCGGGGAAAGGGCCGAGAAGCCGAGGGCACCACGTCTCGAACAAGAGGTGCCCTTCCCCCCTGATGCGTGATAACGCTCACAACTCTCAGCCGCAAGATCCGACATGGCCCACCAGGCCAGGGATCCCCAAGACTGCCTCCAAGACCTCCTCGATGGACCACCTCGATGGCAGCACTTGTCCCAAAATGGCTCCACTCCGGCCCCGGTGCCTCCCCAAAGACGCTCCCGATATGCCGACATTGGCGTTCTGGCCTTTGCTCCTTGAAATGGGCCTCAGATGCCTCGAGGTGTTTCCAGGGTGCCCCACGCCAAGAGGTCCAAGAGGAGCCCATCAGGGCTCTAGCTGACACCAAGAGGGCTGCGGAACGATCCTCCTCCAAGAAATCCTACAACAACCCGATTAGGCCCTAAGATGGCCCCGCAAAGCGATAAGAAGAGCTTGAGAAGGCCCCTAGAACGTCTCGAGAACGCTGAAGGCACTAACGAGTCCCCAAAGAGAGCCCAAAGATGACCCTCCGAGTGCCTACGAAGACTCCGAGATGACCCCCAAACCTAAACTTGCCCCTACGACCAAGGCACGCGCGTCGAGGTCACAGCGCAGCGCCAAACCAAGCACTCACATCGCTTGAAAGGTGCTAGAATTGGGAGGTGTGCGTGTTCAAATCTGGTTTGGTTGACGTCATGTTTGAAGAACGCCGATTGGCCATTCAAGGTTCATACCATCGCTATCCTTGAGATCCTTCATCTGTCCTACATCTGATGCTTATCCCCCTCCTCCGCTCACACCTGTCCATCTCTCCCACAACATTTCGCTCGTTCACTATTGGCTCCTCTCACTCTCTACTCTCGTACGCGACTCACTCCACTCTTGCCCCCATCGCTTCACACACATGTATACATGTGTATACCAACATGAATTGCAAGCAGTCGTGCTCCTCATCAAACCTTTGGCTTTGGCCCCACTGAGGCGCCCGAACAACCCAGGGCATCATTTCAAATCCCCCTCTTCTGGAAGATGGCGGAATGGCGTGAGCCTCTAGGATACACGTTTGCAGCGCAAGACGCTGGAAATAGGTTTAGGTCGGACATGTCCTCCTACAGGCGGATGTTGGACGAATATTGAAAAATAGTCAAACAATTTAGACCATTTCTAGACTACTATTGAATAGTCCTTCCTGTAGGGGGCCATGCCCGACTTAACTTTAGGGTACACGTTTGCAGCGCAAGACGCTACAGCGTGGGACACTCAACCCAGCAAGACCTGGCCGCTCTTGCAGAAACCTTGCCCGCGAGACACGGACTCGAGGCACTGCGAGGTCCCCGTCGAGAACGTCAGCACGCCCTCCTCTAGAGAACCAACTGGATAAACATCGACTTTCGCGCGAATTCGCCGGGACTTCTTGGATCTGCGATGACCCGGAGCGCCGCCAGGGGGTTCCAACACAGATCCACGAAATCCGCGCGGAGGTCCGGAGAATTGCGTTTCAGCATTTTTGCGGACTCGATCCTCGGAAACACGCCCGTTGACTGCGAACGGCATCCCCCAGGCCTTTTGACGGACCTCGTCGTGCGCGGCGCACTCCAGGCACTCGGCTCGCAGGGCGTCCTCCGCCGGGGTGTCCACGCACCTGACGCTCGTGGGCTCCTCGGAGGAACGCCGCCAGGCGCTGAACGACGCGACCACGTCGCGCTCGCCGCGCATGACCCACTCCTCTCGGGGAGACGTAAGACTCGGATTCGGGGGACTCGGGTTGGCCTGACGGGGCCGACAGGAACGTGACGAGACCCAATCTGAAATTTGGCGCGAGCTCCCGCTGCAGACATCCCACGAACACTGGGCCGTCAACATCCAGGGCGGCCCCATCATAACAGCTTCGGCTAACCCGAGTTCAGGCGCATTCGAGTCTCACGAGTCCCCGATCCTCGAGGACGGACGCGGTGGTCAGCTGGGCCTCCACGTAGCACGTCGCCCACGGCGGGTTCAGCCCCGTCTCCGGGGCCGCCTCCGCGAGCTGGCCCCCCGACTGGCGCCGCGGCTCGAGGTCGGAGGCCGCGGCCACCCTCGCACCGCGGAGCGCCTCGGCGAGCACCCTCGCGTCCGCGTCGCGCTCCGCGTCTGTGCGGCCCGAGGCAGCCCGCGCCGGGGCCGCTGGCGCGGCCGCGGCGGGGGCGAACGCGGCGGAGCCGGCTCCCCCGCGGCAGGCGAGGCGGCAAGCGCCTGCGGCCAAGGCCAGCGCGGAGGCCTTCCCGAGCACCCTACGATGTGCCGGCATGCTTGGATCGGGCCTGCCTGCGCAGGTGGGCGGGGCTTCGAAAAGTGTTGACAGGCTTATCCGCAGGGGTGCTGTCTTGGGCCGAGACGGCTGCGGGATGGAAGGACGCACACGCGAGCCCCGATGGTGTGCGCGCCGATCTGCAACGCCTGGAACAACTTGCGACAACACATTGCCACTGTTCTTCGATCGTTCTCGGTCTGACTCAGCGTGGTGATCCGTGTGGTTTGCGATCGCCTCCTGATTGAAGGTGGATGAGGGTATCAATCCTTTCAGAAACCCTTGTTTGCCTTCTACCTTCTTATCCTTCAGAAGGGGTTCCGCGAGGGACTGGTGCGTCCAATATGGCCCCGCATAACTCCGAGGTGGCCTCATATGGTTCCAAAGCAAGGCAACATTACATTGCCAAAGTCGGATCCGCAACTATTGCATCTAATTTGCATCGAAGAGGTCCGAAGACGGTCCTAAGGGGGCTCGAGGTGGCCACAGAACCGCCCAATGATGCTCCCGTCAAGCCAACACCGTCAAACAACCTAGCGCGTGTTACGATGCTTGTCCTCTGGCGTTTTCGCTTCTGATGGGCGTCCGAGGCTCCAATATGGCTCCAGTACTCCATACGGCCCAACAGAAACCAGTGGGGGACCCCGAAGCATCCTGAGAAGGTGGGGGTGAACATTACGTCCAAGCATAAGACTACTACGCAATGCTGTCCTCATGGATTCCGCGATTGAATTACGACGGTGTCCCGAGGTTATCGGTACGGCTCACGACCGTCCGTCTCACACTTGATGTGCGATTGTGTCACGATTGATTCGCGATGAAATCACAGCTCGGTGCCATTCTGTCCTGCGAGTGTGTCCCGACGGAATCGGGGCTGTGCACTGTTTTTGTTGTGGCTGTCGTGGTTATGTGATGATCTGATGGACTCCCGATGAAGTTGCGGCATTGTGTTGGCCAATTAACGATGGCGTCCTGGATGGTTTGTGATGGTTCCTGGATTGATGTGTGATGGCGGTATGATGTTCCCATGATCAGGTTGCGAGCGCCATGCTTGATCTCCGCGATGGCATTGTGACTCGTCTGCCGTGGTGCCCCGCTGCCCCCGCGACCTCTGCGGCGCGAAGCGTGCGCACCGCTCCCAGCCTCGACCCACCGATCGACGGCAGGCCTGGCTGCCAGCTAAACTTGTTCGCCGGCGGCGAGGCAGCGGCATTCCGCTCCAGCGTATGGCTACAGTCGGACTCGATTGGACAGGACACGCGAGAGGACACAAGACCCTTCCGAGGGCCACATTGCCACAGGAATGTAGGAAGCATGGGTCGCGGGACACAGGACACAAAGGTACCCTTGATTTGGCAGGGTCGACCTACTAATCCGGGCCGCCTGTATTCGGGGCAGCCGAAGGCCATTTCTCCAGCGTGCGCGAGGGCCGGCTCGCTAAACAAGCAGGGCGCTGGCTGCTTGGGATTCCGACAGCCATGGCGGCTGAGCGCTCGCGACTCGCGACTCGCGACTCGTGCGCGGGGGCGTCTCGCCGCACGGGGGCAGAACACTCCACGGGAAAACCTGCTCAGGCGCTGACCGGGCGCACCGCGGCTCGCGAAAAGCCCTGTCCAGGGTCCTGCCGTGGCACTGGGAGGAGGGGAGGAGGAGGAGGAGGAGGAGGAGGAGGAGGTGGAGGAGGAGGAGGAGGAGGAGGAGGAAGAGGAGGAGGAGGAGGGAGGAGGAGGAGGAGGAGGAGGAGGAGGAGGAGGAGGAGGAGGAGGAGGAGGAGGAGGAGGAGGAGGAGGGGGAGGAGGAGGAGGAGGAGGAGGAGGAGGAGGAGGAGGAGGAGGAGGAAGAGGAGGACAACAGCGCGCCGGCACGGAAGGTCACTGGGAGTCTTGAGAACGCCACAGTTGCCGAGAGGTCTCTGGAAGCCCCAAGCAAGGCCGAAGACGCCAAAAAGCATTGACCCTCGAACCTCGTTCAAACCTCCCTCCTCCCTCCCATAAGGGGAAAGGCAAGGAAGGAAGAAACAGGGTGCAGAAAAAAACAGACAAGGAGAGGACTTCCTCTCCCTGAGGGTCGCGGGCCTCTGGCAACAAGACTGCGAATACTTTCCACTACCACCACCCTGGTTTGGCCCCGCTGGGGCTATACCCCACAGCGAGGCGGGGCGCGAGATCGGGCCTGGAACAAGGAGAACAAAGAGGGGGAGGAGGAGGCTGAGGAGGGGTAGGAGGAGGAGGAGGAGGAGGAGGAGGAGGAGGAGGAGGAGGAGGAGGAGGAGGAGGGGGAGGGGGAAGATATGATGATGTTGATGGTGGTGGTGATTGATGATGATGGTGATGATGCAGATGACGATGATGATGGTGACGGCGACAACATGTTGAGTGTGTTTTCCATGGTGATGACGGTGTATATCTATCCATATATATATATATATATATATATGTATGTTGATATTGGTAATCATTGGTATTCGTAGGGGTGGTGATGATGATGGCCATCATGACAAATGGTGATGGTGACGGTGCCGACGGTGACAGTGAGAACCACACTGGTGATAATGGTGGTGGTGAGGATGATTTTGCGTACTTATGCATGCACCCCTCCCCCAGCACTGCTGCCGCAACTCAGGCCATGGCAAGACACCGACAAGAGCAAACGCCCTCCGAGACCCAGGAGGAGTCTCGGAAAGCGCGCGACCCAACCCCCCGGGGACGGCCCACCGTCACGGAGGACGAGAAAGGAACGACGAGGAAGCCGAAGCCGGGAGACAAACCCAGAAGGCAGAAACGACAACGCGGGAGGACAGGAAACGAAACGGTAGGCGACAGAACGACGAGACAGGGCGACCAGAGGCAGAACGACAAGAGGCGAGAGGACCCAAGGCCTTAGACACCAGGCCCAGCGACTCGACAAGGATCATGGAGACCGCCACGAGCAGCTCAATCATCGAGTCCGTCGAAGATGAGGACATGCCTGGCTGCCTGTCCAACGTACTGTGGATAAGGTGAAGGTGAGCTGCCAGGAGCAGCGCTATCAGCACGACCAGCACCATCAGGAAGAACGCCCCGACCAGCTTCTCCACGAATAACGGCATGAACAGCTGACACATGATCCACACGAACATGATCTCCAAGAAGATCAGCTTGAACGCCTTCACCCAGAAATGCAGCACGCCCGCATCCATCATTCCAAGGAATGGCAGAACGAACGGCTCCACCAAGAAGCCCCTCCAGCCTGTCCACCTGCTGGTCAAACGTGCGCTGGATGAGGGAACGAGCGCCAGCGCCAAGCCGAAGACCGCTACAATGCCCAGGAAGATCACTAGCTTCATCACGATAATTACCACGACCAGCTTCACAAGGGAGATTGGCACGCCCCACACAATCACGAAGAGGAGGATCAGCGGGAAACTGAACAGCAACCTGCGGGTCACGTAGTGATCGTCGCGGCTGAGCAGAATGGGGGCCGGCAGCGGTGGCATGAACGCGAACGTCTTCACGTTTGGGTATATGGGGACGGGAAAGCAATGAGGACTCTTGCTACGGTCAAAGCCGGCCGGCAGCAACTCGAATATGTGCCGCCGCACCCGCCCACGGATATCACTCGAGCCAAGGCCGCGCCGGGGATCCCCACCGCTAGCACCACCATGGGGGGGCGCCCACGACGTCGATCATGATAAACATCAGGTCCAGCGCCATCATCTGGAGGACATCCAGGGCCATGGCCATCGGAAGCGCCGGGCGCAACTTGGGCAACGACGATTAACCAATGGAAACGGAGGCCCCACCCACCTTGAAAAAAGCAATCTGTGACTCACTTGGAAAAATATGTCTCGATCCGCACCCTCGCGTGGAACACGCCTGCAATGGCCCCCGCACAGACAGGCGCATTCACTTCTGGCTGCGAACCCGCGCGGAGCTTGCATTTATCTCCGCGCAGTCCACTAACCGATTACCTCTTCTCCCCCTCCCCGGTTGAGCCCATTGCCATCGTGGCCGTGCGCCCACCCGCGGCGACGAGGTCCCCAAATCCCGCGGCTGCTTTTAGTTGAACACCGACGTTCGCAAATGCAGTCGATATCTATTTTAACAACACGAAGCGTTTCGATCACATGATAACGTATGCAATCCGCTACAACCGCGAATCGTATCTAAGCATTCGTACCCGAAGAGGGAATATCTAATAACTATACATAGTTAAATGTATATATATGTATAATTGCTTACAACTTTCGTTTGTTTTCCTCCAGCCCGTTATTCACTCAGGAGAAACCTTTGTCGACCCTCCGCCGCGTGGCCCTAGAAGAGGAATGCGCGCAGCGGCAGTCATTCGATCCGACGCCCAACTTCGTCGAAATACAACGACGCCCACTCGCAACACCACCGGGGACGTGCGAAAGAACACCCAGAAACGGGCAAATAAAAGCACAAGGTGTCCGCCTCCGAATCACGAGACGACCTGGAAGTCAATGGGGCAAGATACTTCTAAATTTCCGAAGGCGGGGGCTGGGCCTCGGATCCGACCGGTGATCTACCTCGCGCACGGGGCCAGCGACCAACGGCTAGTCATGAGGGATGAGCAGCTTGATGCTGCTCTTGCCTGCAGCAGAGGCGGAGGACACCCACATGTGCAAGGGCGTGCCAGCAACGGCATGCCTCCGGGCAGAAGCAAGCCGAGCCAGGACCACCATCCGCCGGCAGCACGCGGGCGCGGGCGCGGACCTCGCACTTGCGAGGGCCAAGCCAATGAAACAAGCAAATGCCTGCGCCAAAGTGGCTGTGATGATGTTGTTGTTGATGATCATGATGATGGTGGTGATGATGGTGATCGCGATGGCGATTGCGATGATGATGCTGTTGATGATGATGATGTTGATGCTGATGATGATGATGCTGCTGATGCTGCTGATGCTGTTTATTGTAATGCTGATGCTGCTGCTGATGATGATGATGATGGTGATGATGATGATGATGATGGTGATGATGATGATGATGATGATGATGATGATGATGATGATGATGATGATGATGATGGCCAGGGGCAAAAATGATGAGGCCTCTCACAACTTGTCGCATCTCTGATACCTAATCCTCCCAGACCTCTCCCACAGTGCATTCTGACCAGGGTCTCGAGGCGAGTCCTGCCATGGCGACGATGGCCCCCCTCGAGGCCCGCTTGGGGCGAAAAATTTCAAATTCCGTATCAAACCCTCGCTTCTCCACCGTCCTTCCGCTACTGCCTCCTCCTCCGACCTCCGACGACTCCGTTTTTTCATGTCGCCGCGACCCAGACCTCTCGATGTCTTCCCCCCCGCATGCGGCTCCCATCCCGAATCTTTGTTTGATGGCCTCAGGGCCGGGGAACGGCTTTCAGACATCGAAAACTGCAAACAAACATGTGGCGCGATCTGAGCGTTTTCCTAGGGTGGAGGGCTCAGGGCGAAATTCATCTGGGCTTTCGCACCTCGAAGATCAGTCCGTCTTGTGACTCGCCTTTTGCAAACTCAAACGTCGAAAATCAATCGAAACGGCATTTCAATTTCACACTTTGCCCTCCACCCAACGAAAATGCTCAGGCGATTCTCTCTCAGACGCTGGAGACCTGGCTGCCTCCGGATCTCTTCTTGGGTAAGATCCGACCATAACTCTATCGGGAACGCAACCGTGGCGACGACAAGCCTCCCGGAGGACCAGATGTGGGGAGGAGCGTCCAGAAGCGTCGACCCTCGATCCCTGAACCTCGAGCCTCATCTCCCATTGATGGGCGTGTTTTCCACCACCACCACCATAAGTTGGAGGGGGTGGTCCTCCTCCTCCTCCTCCTCCTCCTCCTCCTCTTCTTCCCCCTCCTCGCCCTCTTCCTCCCTTCCCCCTCCAACTTATGGTGGTGGTGGTGGAAAACAGGCTCATCACCCATCCCCCCTTGCTGTTGCCTGTGATGGCCCAAAATTGCTCCCGGACCCCGACGGCGCAACCCTCGAGCACTCCTGGCGGGCGGAAAGCTGGGACCGGGGGCAGGAGAGCCCAACATCGAATCGATATGTCGGATCTGCAATCGAAATGAATCGGATCGGCGAAAATCGGCAGCCGAGTCGGGAACAGTCGAATCGGCGGAGATCGGCAGGCTGGTAGGCCTCCGCTGACAAATCGGAGCCCAAATCGGAATCCCAAGTCGCTCAATCGTATCGGAATCGGAAGCCCTCGAAGTCGAAGGAATCGACCCGAAGGAATCGGCCCGAAGGAACCGAGATCGACCCGAAGGAATCGGAATCGAATCGACCCGAAGGAATCGAAACGAGCCCCGGTGATTCGGGGCTGGATAGACCTCACTTTAGTAAACCTCCGCTCAGTGACATGTACCGGGGGCCGCCCCTCCGAACGTTGCCCCGTGCCCCCCGCCGAGATCTCGCCTCTCGATCACTGATCGAGAGGCGAGATCTCGGCGACCTTCGAAGCTGGCGCTCCGGCGCAGGCAGTCCTGCAGATCCCACTCCCCAGTCGCGGCACCCCATTCGGCGAGGATGCCCTCCTCGCCCCTCGAACCTCCAGTCCGCGATCCAAGGCTCTTCGTTCCTTGGACTCCTCGATCCCAGATCCTTCGAGGCTCGCTCCTCGATCCCCATCGACTCTCGATAACCTCGATCCTTGGATCCCTCGACCCCTCGACCCCGATTCAGGCCTCGATCCCTCGATCCTTCGATCCTCGATGCCACACGATCCTTCGGCACTTCCCACCTTGGCCCCTGCGATCCTCTGCCCTCGACCCCTCTTTCCTCCCCTCTCCTGGGGAGCGGACGACGGCGGCGATCGGAGGGGAGGCGGCTGGGCCTCTGCTTGGCCCCGTCGGCCCCTCTCGACGCCTCCCTCCTTCGATCCTCGGCACCCCGACCCTTCGGCCCTGTGCACCTCGACCGTTCGATTGCCGACCCGCGACCCCTCGATACTCCTCTCGCCCTGGCGTGCGGCTGGAGGCCTCCCAGATGGGGTCCGAGTGGATGGCGTCGGAGGATCGCGCCGCATCGCCAATGCATCGGCGATGCATCGCCGACGTTGGCGACGCATCGGCGACGTCGGCGTGGAGAAGATCTGTCTCCTTGTGGAGCCGCATCGCCGACGCATCGGCGATGCGGCGCGATCCTCCGACCACATCCAGTCGGCCCTCACCTGGGAGGCCTAGACTCCTTCGATTCTCGATCCCCCGATCCTTCAACCCCCTGTGCCTCGACCGTTCGATCCCCGACCCTGGAACCCCTCGCGCCTGCCCCCTCCCTGACGGGCGACGGCGGCGAGCAGGAGGGAGGCGGCCTGGCCTCTGCTTGGCCTCGTCGGCCTCTCTCGACGCCTCCCTCGGTCTGACGAAGACCATGGGGACGCTGAGCATGGCGGCCTCGGCGTGACGCCGCGGGCGGGCAGCGGGAAACGCATGCATGTTCGGCATTCGCAGATCGGGAGAAAAATAAGCAGGACGGGGAAAGTCGAGTCGGACCACCCTCCTGCAATCCTCGACCCCCCCGCCGTCATGCTTGTTCGCTGCCCCGTTGACTGAACCCCACCCCTGCTGCCGGGTGCCCACCCATGCCCGCGGCCTCGCGGTCCGTGACTCCTCGGCCGCGGCCACGTGGATGCGGGGTGGCTCTGTGCGGATGCCCGGCGCGGAACGCATCATCCGTGAGCTGACGCAGTCACGGGATCGCGCCCTGGAGTCCAGACCGCGATGGAGGTGGCAGGGGATGCAGCCCAGTGGATTGCCATACGAACGTAGGCCATGAAGATTCACGGAAGGCCCAACGTCCCACGGAGCTGCCCCAGACGAGTAGGGAGCGCCAGGTCAGGAAGGAAACCCCATGTCCAGCCCCAACAAGCGGCCGAGAGAACGAGGAGCGCCGGAGGAGCAGCCATGGAGGGACCCAAAGAACAGCGAGCCCCTTTCCGAACCCCCGAGCTGCTCCTTCTCTCCGCGTGTGCACTGTACGGGTACCCCTCCAGAGCTAGGACCGTTCTGATCCGGGGGGAACCAAAGAATACCGATACGAGCTGCTCTCTGGACCTCTCCCGGGGTGCGTTCTGACCACGAGCTCGAGGCGAATCACGAACACGGGGAAGGGTAGCGGCATGGTTACCCTTTCCAGCTTTATCCAAAGCTAGGGCTGCTCCTGTCCCACGTGGCAGCTATACATGTCGTCGCTCGTGGGTGGCCCCAGACCCTGCCGACGCCGCGCGCATCTCGGTGCCGGCGATGCCCCTCGACCTCGACCTCGAGAGGCCTGCTCTCAAGGGCTCCAGGACCACGGACACGCCAGCGCAGAAGTGCCGCGCCCACGCAGCCCTACCCTGCCCCTTCGCTCGGCCCGATCCTCCACGGCCTCCTCTGGCTTGCGAGTCTTTCCTGTGCCGCCCTTACCCCCAACGTTCCTCCCCTCCCTCCTTCGCACCCCTCCTGCCTGCTGCGCCTCCTCCCGCCTGTTCCTCTCCTCCTCATCTTCCTCCTCCTCCTCCGCTGCCTCCTCCTCCTCCTCCTCGTGGTTCCTGGAGCCTGTTTCCTGAGGACTGGATAGTCGTACCGACGTCCTCCTCCTCCTCCTTCTCCTCCTCCTCCTCCTCCGTCTCCTCCTCCTCCTCCTCCTCCTCCTCCTCCTCCTCCGCCTGCTCCTCCTTCGGCCTGCCCCCTCTCATTCACACCCTCGCCCCGCCCACTCCCTACTTCCCTTCCCCCTCGCCGCCCACTCCCTACTTCCCTTCCCCCTCATCCCTGTTTTCCTTACCCCTTCCTCCTTCTCCTGAGCTGTCCTCCATGTTCCTTCCTCGGTCCGTCGTCCTAGTCATCCTCTTCCTCCTTCTTCTCGTCCCCCTCATCGGAGACCTGTCAGGGCAAACTCCTGCTATGGTGTGCCTGGCATTCCCCTCGGTATTCCCCAAACAACTGTGCTGACCGAGGCTCGATTGCGGTAAGAACAAATTCCGCCCGACGTAACGCACACGGGCAACCTCAAAAGTCTGAAGTAAATCTGCCCATTTCGCCGAAAAGATCCTCTCAACTGTCGTCTCTGAGTTGTCCGGGATTCCGCAATTTCGCTTGAGACATCCTCGCAACCCTGGGCTCCAGAATGCCGCGCGCGAGGTGGTCCATAGCGTTTCGCCTGAGGCATATTTGCAAGTCTGGGCTCAAGGTGGTCGAGCGCGTTTTGCCTGAGACATCCTCGCAACTCTGGGATTCGAGATGTCGCGCGAGAGGTGGTCCGGCGCGTTTTGCCTAAGACATCTTCGAGACTCCAGGCGCCAGGATGCCGCGCGGGAGGTGGCCCAGCGCGCTCGCCTGAGGCATCCTCGCAATTCAAAGCTCCGAGATGCCAGGCGCGAGGTTGTTTGGCGCGTTTCCGCCTGAGACATCGTCGCAACTCAGAGCTCCGAGATCCCTCAAGCGAGGCGGTCCAGCGAGTTTCGCCTGAGACATCGTCGCAACTCGGATCTTCGAGATGCCTCACGCAAGGCGGTCCGGAGCGTTTCGCCTGAGACATCCTCACAGCTCTGAGCTCCGAGATGCCGCTCGTGATGTGGTCTGGCCCGTTTCGCCTGAGACATCCTCGCAACTCGCGGCTCCGAGACGCTGCGTGCGAGGTAGTTTATCAGGTTGCGACTGAGACATCCTTTCAATTCTGGGACCCAAAAGTGAAGGAGGAGGAAGAAGAGGTCAAACCCAAACGAACCACAATTCTGCTTTCGAATTGCGCTCCGGGAAGATTCTGGGCACTATAGTCCGACGGAGGAGGTAGCCGGCGCCGAGGTGCGATCACGATTCCATTGTAAATTGTCATGGCTTTTCAGAGGGTGGCGCCAAACTTGAGCAAATTATGGAGGGAGGAGGAAGGAGGAAGAATGGAGGAGGAACCAAAACTACTTGATTGAGGGCACCTCCTGGAAACGGCATCGAGTGCGAAGGCATCCCTGGCATGTCTGGGGAGGCAGAGGAAGCAGAGAGGAGGAGGACGAGGCGGAAGAAAAGCACGGGGAGGATGAGGAGGGGGAGGAGGAGGAGGAGGAGGAGGAGGAGGAGGAGGAGGAGGAGGACGAGGCGGAGGCGGAGGAGGAGCATGCGAGCGAGGACGAGGTGGAGGAGGAGTAGACGGAGCAATTGGAGGAGGAAGGGGAGAAGAAACAAACACTGCGAAGAGGATGACAAGGAGCACGAGGAATACAAGGAGGAGCACGGCGAACAGGAGGAGGAGGAGGAGGAGGAGGACAAAAGGAACATGAGGAGTGTGATGAGGTACAGGATAAGAAAAAGGAGGGGAAGAACACGAGGAATAGCACGAGGAGGATGGTGAGGATTCGTAAGAGGAGGGGGACGAGGAGAAGTGAGATGAGGAGGCACAGGATGAGGGGGGGAGGAGGAGGATCAGGATAATGAGGAGGATGAAGAAGAGAAGAAGAGGGAGGAAGAGAGACAGGGGAGGCGGAGGATAAGGTGGATGGGGAGAGGAAAGCTCGACGACGACGCCGAAGACGCGGGCCGATGAGTAGGAGGACGCGCGAACATTCTCGGGAACCACCTCGGCATAACAAGCACTGTTTGGGGATACTGGACTCTGGTCACACTTCCACTGGTGGTCTCCTGCGCTACTGTTCTCACGACAACTTGCGCACGAAGAACATCTGAATGGGCTGGTGGGGAAGGCCAAGCGTTCAACTTCGCACCTGCCTCCGTACTGTACGACCTCCCGCAAGGACACCAAGCAAATTCCCAATTCGGTGCGGCAGCGGTCGTTCTGATAGGTGCATCCTGTCTCTTCTTCACTAGACAAACGCGCTCCGCTACTCGCAAAGTAGCTACTCGCCAACGACCCAGATCCGCCGCGGGGGATTCGCGATCCCTTACACCGAGGCAGGCACGTGTTTCTGTTTTCTGGCGTTTGCGAAAAGGCACTTTGCGAGTAGAGGAACGCGCTCGGAACACGCTCAGTGATTCACGCGTGAAGCAGCTGCGCTCGCGCACCGTTGGACAGCCAGCCGCGTACGGTGCACCCCCGCAGAGCTCGGCGCAGGGCGCCCTGTTGCGCTACCCTCGCTCACTGCATTCATTTCGTCGCCGAGCTGCGCGCGCTCGCGTCGCGTGGCGCGGACCCCGCCGCCGAACTCGAGGGCAGAGACATGCCGTCTGCTGCGTGACGAGGGGCCGTGATCGGGGCCCGCAGCGGGGCCCTCGGCCCCCCCGTGGGGCTCCAAGCTTTCCCTCATCGGGGGCGGCCAAGAGGGGGGCGTCCAAAAGGGGGGGGTGCAAATCATGACCGGCGGCATGTGCGCGGACCAGGGGGGGAGGCGGGGACGTACTGGAACAAGAAGAGGCGCCGTGAAATCTGGGGGGAGTATCGTGGCCGACGCCATGATATCCGACCCCCCAAGTCATCACCCCCCTCGTGGCCGCCCCCGAGTGGGGCTCCCAGCTTTCCCCAAGTAGATGGCTGGAGATCCACCCCGATAAGAAGCACCCCGACAATGCAACCGTTTAGTAAACGCACCCGACGAAGGAATCGAACAAGAAAGCGCTGTGGTAAACGCACGGGGCCGTTTAGGTAAGGCCGATTATGGGGGTCGGGGTGGATTTATCCTCGTTGTCGTTGACCAAGGGGGGCCCTCGGAGGTGCGTTCAGCCGGGCGCCCGGCGGGACCCGCAGCGGGGCCCTCAGCGGGGCTCTCGGTGCAGCCGGCTCTCGGGGCTCTCGGTCCTGCAGGTGGGTACGCCGTGGGGCCCCCGCGCGCGGCAGAGCCCCAAGCGGGGTCCCTGATGAGGTCTCTCGCCTGGGCCTTCGGCGGGGCCCGCTTTGTGGCGTGTTTCCAGTGGGTCTTCCTCCTCCTCCTCCTCCTCCTCCTCCTCCTCCTCCTCCTCCTCCTCCTCCTCCTCCTCCTCCCCCTCCCCCTCCTCCTCCCCCTCCCCTCAGGTGTGTTTCAGCTGGGCGCTCAGGAGGGCGTTCAATGGAGGGGGAACTCCAGAGCGGCAGTCACGGTGGTCTTCAGTGTGCTGTCAGTTGAGGTCCTGCAGTGTCGACGTGCACGTACGAAGCAGCACGCGTTGGCAACGAACGTGGACTACACTTGTGTGTATGCGAGCATGTTTGGCCACGCGGGCTGAGGCTACACCTTGCGGCGATCGACGACCAGCCAGGACCCTGCTGCGCAGACCGAATATCGTGCATCAATGCAAGGCCACCCAAGTGCAAGCACAGCTTGAAAAAACCTCGCTCCTCTGTCACATAATCAGTCTGACTGACTTCTCGCCCTACGACTGCAACGTTGGCTAGAGGTAGTTGTTTTCCATCGCAGCGTTCGGGGTCTCGATAAAAGCCTGCCCGTCCAGGCCACTCGGGGGCTGTGCTATTATCCTGTCTGGGAGAG